CCCCTTGCGACGCTTGCGCTTGTCTGGTTTTCTCACGAAACCCAGCTCTGACTCTGTTGTGTCGGATGACAGCGTTTGGGGCGGATCCCTAGCCTCGGTTTTCTACTTACGCGACCCCCTGCGACGCTTGCGCTTGTCTGGTTTTCTCACGAAACCCGACTCTGACTCTGTTGTGTCGGATGAAAGCGTTTGGGGCGGATCCCTAGCCTCGGTCTTCTTCTTACGCGACCCCTTGCGACGCCGGCGCCTCTCTGGTTTTCTTGTGTATTAAAGCTGACTCCTCTGTGTCGGACGACCGCCCCGATTCAGTCTGTGATGATGTTGAAGTTGAATCAAAGTCGCTCTCGTCAAGGCGTTTGTCGCTGATCCTCCTCTCCTGGCTTGTAACTGGATTTAACAAGTCGTCCAAAGCCTTGTCCACCAATTTCCTAGATTCTCTCAGGTCTCGTATGTCAGGCTGGTCTTTCCCTTGTGCATACTCCCTGCTCCGATCACGTGCGTTTTGGCGAGAAACCTGGGGAGGGGGCTCACTTCTTGCTCGAACGCTGGCTTTCTCTCCGCCGTAATCCGACGATTTCTTTAGGTTGTATGATCTAGCCAACCTCACCTCCTCTTCCGCGTCTTCCGAGAGGCTGTCCGACCAGGCCTTACGCACTAGCTCCGGAACTTTACTGTGCCGCCGAAGGCCTCTGATCTTCTCCTGGACGTTAGCACTACCCCGCTGTCGTCCGAAAAAGTCTTCATCTGAGGTTCCTTCTGGTCGCTCAAAAGTGCACCTGCCGCGGCCGTATGGTCCCGGGTGTCCTTTCACTGGTAGCTGACACACGGAACATCGTCTCTTCTTCTTCTTCTCAAGATCAGACTCCATATTCGCAAAAACACCAGATGAAGAGACAAGCAAAAACAAGACCGGCACCCGTGTACCGTCAAGTCGAATGGCGTATCACGTGATCGTGTCAAAGGTTACAGGCCGAAACAAAAGAAACAGGGGTTTTCTAGACAATTAACAAAAATTACCAACGGTCAATTTTTCCCACACAAATCAACAGAAATACTAAAAATTACAATCCGGGCAAATGACAAGTAAATGATAACAAATCATAAATAAGTAACAATTACATAATTGAAAACAATATAATAGAAAAAGAAATTAATTGAGTATCATATCACCGTACTAAAGCAGATTAGGATTATGCCCATGGCCAAACTACAATTGGCAAAACATGGTGTTAGAAAGCCAGTATTGTGTATTGTCTTTTGTGTCCCTTCTGAGGTTCGTTGTGTCCTATCACTAAAAACCCCGATAAGGCAAAGAAGAGCTGCACTGGTCTTCAGATACACACGGCCTCTATGCTAATATTTTGTAAATAACAGTATAAAGTCAAGTAAAGGTTTATCACGGAACAATTGGACCGATTACAATGTATGGCAAATAGCAATAATTATAAACTATTTCTAACAGGTTTCTTATCTAACCGTACCATCCAATAAGTGTACATGTTATGATGGAATACTACATGGTTTCTCTTTGTATAAAATAGACCAACATATCTGAAAGTAAGCTTACCGTGAGTCTCACTTGAAGACAGAAAAAAAGTTTACAGACTTTGTAATACTATGTACAAAATTATTGATAAACAAATGGACGTACCAACTACAACTACAAGATCTAAGGCCAGCTCAGAAAAGAACAATCAGTGCGCCTTTAGGTTCAAGATTTATAAATCAAAGATTGAGGTGTCCAAAATACGTGGGACTCGCGTTACTAAAACGACCAGAAGGGACATACTTACTACTATAACTAGCAACGCTCGCAGGTTCGATGTAAAAAGGTAACTAAAGGTAAAAGAACTACATATGGGTCGTTCATTGCGATATAACCATTTGCTACTGTCTGTGAAGCTGGTATGTAACAACGATGGGCGGCGATACACAATATTGAAAATAAATCCAGATATGTAAGAATGCGATTTCTTTTCCCTCCAAGACCTTGCAAATGCACGATGGGGGCCCGAGTACAAACAGAGTAAGAAGTTCAGCCTCACCGCCTTAAAGACCCTGGGTATGAAGGTCGGAACTGGCAGCATTGAGGAGAAAATCCGAGAGGAGGCGAAATGTATCCGCAACAGGGTAAGATAAAACCAGATCAATAGTATTCTCTCTCCCTCTCTCTGCCATCCTTGCTTGCCTAGTTTTAATGTTAATCTTGTGGTTGGTCAAACTGAAATCTGTAATAGAAACTTTGTTTAATAAATGAAAGAAAATAGATTATTACACGTTATCAATTTATCTTAAGATGGCAGGATACGACGAAAAGCCCTATGATGTTTCAAACGACGTAAGCGTCGCTGTCGCAAACGTCATCTGCGGCATGGCGCTTGGGAAGCGGTATCTCTACGAGGATAAAACGTTTCGGGAGATTTTGGATGCCATGGATAAGGTCTTTGCTGAACTTCGATGTGGACAGATCTTCAGCGTCTTTCCTTTCTTACGGTTTGTTCCTGGGAGTAAGTAGCATCAATTCAATCTTCTAGACCAATCCCTGTCACATTAGTGAATTTCTCTTTTCTTTGTCATGAAATTTTCAGCGAGTCTAGAAAGGAGACACAGCCGACCATGATCTCTTGATTCCGTATGATATGTTACATCTAGTAGCAACGTGTCATGTTTACTTTTCAGGCTGGACAAAACAGACAAGCCAGCACCATTTTGTTGCTGATTGAAAGAGTGGCATGGACATAATCATATCAGTTTTATTTTCTGGGCTCTTTTCTACAGTAAACAGAACCTGTAAAGAAGTCTTGGAACAGAACTCTAAGATTCAGCGAGTATTGTGGAACGAGATAGCCCGCCATCGCGAGAACCTGGATCGCGAGAACCCCCGAGACTTCATCGACACCTGCCTTCTGGAGATGGAACTGCAGGAAAAGGTTGATGGTCTGACGGAGGAAAACGTCATGTACATGGCCCAGGACCTCTTCTTCGCGGGAACTGAGACAAGCTCCACCACACTGCAGTGGAGTCTGCTCTTCATGACTTTGAACCCCAAGATCCAAAACAAGGTACTTGCTATTGTACATTTTATTTTTTTGATTTCTAGAAAGACGTTTTTCTGAAGATTACATCAATGCAATTTCGCTTTATTTGGTGCAGCAGGAGCTTGATGCCGTTGTTGGTGAGGGTCTGGCGGCCCTGTCCCATCGTTCCCAGCTGCCCTACGTGAACGCCTGTCTGCTGGAGGTCATGAGGATCCGGACTATCGTACCTCTGTCTGGTCCTCACGCTACGACTGAGGCCGTTAAAGTACAGGGATACGACATCCCAGAGGGGACTCAGGTACTTCAAATTTTCCCTAACGTCATGTATCGCCATTTTCTGTTAGTCAAACCTCGCCATTCAACGAACTCCAGAAGCCGACCAAATGCTTAAGAATGCCACCTTTCCCTTCGGTTCCCTGTGAGGCCATTCTTCGGCAGGTTTATCTGTACTTGATTTCAAACGTTTTCCATTGAACATTGTATTGATGTCTGACTGATGTTATGCGTCTCCTTGCCCAAGGTACTACCTAACCTATACTCCCTCCACATGGACCCCGCCTACTGGCCTGATCCGGACCGGTTTGACCCCGGAAGGTTTCTGGACGCGGAAGGAAACGTCATCAACAAGCCTGAGTCCTTCATGCCTTTCGGAGGAGGTAAGACTAACGAAAATATTATTATAAACTCATAAGGCTTACACATCTACTTTTCGACAGTAGTTGGTCTTACAACCCGCCATTCTTTATTTCCAGGCCGACGCGGCTGTCTTGGTGAGCAGCTGGCCAAGATGGAGCTTTTCCTGTTCTTCTCGACCCTACTGAAGTCATTCACCTTTACGACGCCAGGGGGCGCTCCTCCTCCTTCCACCGAAGGCGTCTTCGGATTGACCTTGACCCCGCATCCGTTCAAGCTCTGTGCGATACCGCGTTAGTTTAATGGATTGATATGTGAGAAATGACATAGTTTTCTTATAAACATTATCTAGAAGAAAATTAGAAATTTTGCCAGGGCTTGCCGGTAGACAGTCACAATAGAATTGTCTAAAATGAAAACAAGAAGGGCTTGTGTCTAAAACTTGTCCATAAGTGCTATTGTGGGATTTTTACTTGTGCGAAGGGATTTTAGAGACAATGATAACGCATATTGGTGATTTTCTATTAACAGGTGGCCCTTTGTTCATGTAATACTAATACTAGAGATTAAATGGTAGGTCTTCTAACAGCCACATTACATATTTCACAACTTGGAGTCATTACCAATAGTCCGTTAAACATGTTGTCTCAGATTTCCAATAACGGGACCTAAACCCGTGCATTTCTGCTACGTACAATCAGAACTGGATGGGCAATGCATTGTTTACTTACTTGAAGACCAACCAACAAACTTCCTGGAAGAAACCGCTCATAGTCACATGTAACCATTCACTATATCTAAGAACGAGATTTTTAAAAATACAATAAGAGGTGTACGACGTGCTAGTTCATACCCGATTAAACTTCACAATGTCCGATATGTACATGCTTTACTGATAAATGTACGGACGCTTTTTAACCAAAGCGAGCATATAGTTTCTAAAGTCTTTTAAGGAAATGACAAATAACTAGCCTGGGAACCATCCTGGTTAGTTTACGGGACGTCCGCTTCCAGAGTCGGTACCGACTGACCGGTAGCGACTGTGGGAGCAGACGTAAACTAACCAGGATAGTACCCAGACTAGGGTATAATTGCCGTGTTATTATTAATTATGGTTTAGTAGTCAGTACAATCAATACCTAATGGTATCGATCTGGTTTAATTATAAGCAACTATTGTACAAATATTCAAGTTCTATACATGAATGTTGCCTTCTATACTAGAGTTTATCTCAGTTGATAAGATAACCAAGCTCACATAGGAGCATGATTGTGACAATCATTACATTGCAAATAATATAACAGAAATAGAAAACGGGACAGAAAATAATAAACTGGCTACTAGCCTAAGTTTGTGATATTCTATCTTCCACAAGTTCTGAAGGAAATGGTCTCACTGCTTGATCAACTTTTCTTGGTCTGCCTGATATTATTTTATGACAACTTTTAGCTCGGTGGTAACTTGTACTTGTGCCAAGTCTTGTTTACCCACTTTCTACTTAGTGGCGCTCTCACCGCACTCTGTCTGTGACCTGAAATTGGCCAGAGTGCGGAGAGAGCGCCAAGGTCACTATATTTGTACTGTTTAGACCGTTGTGCGCTCTGGGGGCTTTCTGCATGCTCTCATGACGCTCTGCACTCATGGTTTGATCGCCGTCCTTGGCACTCTCACGGAGATGGCATGAGCTGGTTCAAAACATTAGCCGAGCTCGAGGTAACGGCGCTTATGGAGCTCTCAGCTCGCTCGCAAGGCGACATCTGGGCGATACCTTGGAGCTCTCTCTCCGCGCTCTGGCCAATTTCAGGTTGCAGATAAAGTGCTGTAACAGCGCCGTCTTAGTAGAATGGGGACCTTAAACGTGTCCGAGCTAAACTGTTTGAAAAACTATGTTGACTGCTTACCTTGCTTCTTGTCGAAGAAACTAAGGTCTAAGGTGAGGTTACCCATTAAGAAATGCATTTACAAAGGCGCCGGCATTTCTTAGGTTATCCCGTATCAAAGATCTTATACAATCGTCCCTTCACTGCTTTGTTTGCTGCATTTATGACATTGACAATAGCTGTTGTGCCTTTTAGATATAAAACAGGGCAGAGTGGAGCCACATTGGTCTTGCTTCAGATCTACAATCACAATGTTTTCATCATAAGCTAAGCAGTAAACAAGTTGGAACCGGTTGTGTTGGTGTAATTATACCGGTCGTCAGATGACCCCGTTGGGCCATTGCCACAGGCAAAAAGGCTATGCGCAGGCGCAGGAGATGTTATCTGCATTCTTGACAAACATGGCGGTAATCGTCGGTTGGATAACTGAGTCTGTCCGAGAGATTTTTCAGATCTCTGAGCTGACTCTGCAGTCTTGTCTCGTCTTCTGTACGGCTTTCCTCCTAACATGTTTCTTCTTGAAGCGCCGCAAAAACCTGCCTCCCTACCCGGCAGGATGCGTGCCTGTTCTCGGGCACCTCCTCGCCTTGGGCCGAGCGCCTCACCTCAAGCTGACGGCGTGGAGGCGGCAGTACGGGGACGTCTTCACCGTCAGGATGGGGATGAAAGATGTGGTGGTTCTGAACGGCTACACTGCCGTCAAGGACGCGCTCGTGGACAGGTCCGAGCTGTTCGCCTCGAGACTGTCAAGTTGCCTGATTGAAGCGATGATTGGTTTTGGAAAAGGTAAAACTTTACTCTCTTTACCAAGAAGGCTTTATTTCGGGGGCATTCGTTTGTGTTTGTGTGCGTGCTCACACGTGTGTGTGTCTGTGTACACGATAACTCGAGAAGGCTTAGATGTATAGTGTTTATATTTGAAGCTATAGGTAGGTCTTTATGAATCCTCTAAATAATTAGATTTAGGACCACTGGCGGCTTGTTATGGTACTGCGGCATTTTGTTTTGTTTTGACACAAAATAGCAAAGCTACAGTCACACTTTACGGATAGATAGCTCTCGTGCTCATCAAAAAGTGACGTTTTTTTTATTGGTTTTCCTAGCAGATGTTCTGGAACGGCAGGAGTATTTGTTGAATTTTTTTAATGGAGGGATTGCCATGCTTTGGGTATGTAGGTAGTCTCAGTAAACATAGTAATCATAATTAGATGACAAGTATGCTAATGGAGCTCTAATTGCAAAATTGATTAGATACTTCTATAGTCTACTTCATACCAAGACAGAGTGGGACTTATCAGGATATGTAATCGTAAACATGAGGAACATCAGCAGATATCATATAGTCCCAATTAGGGATTTTGCATGACAGTAATATGCACCACCATTTCACAGCACATTTAAATAACCATTTTATAAGTGAGGCTTTGAAAATAGCCCAAAACAAGCTACAAAGGTAGCACTTTTATTTTCTGGTACCGCTAATAACAAGCACCTTTTTTCGCATCTTTGCGTCACACAGATAATATCAGTATGTTATGAGGTTGATTCAAGTTACTACGTTCAAAGAATGAACAAAAAAAGACTGTTTTATTAGCTTCGTTGCCATTGGAGGTCTGTAAAGAGGAAACTTATTTGTTCCTGTAGACATAACGATGACCCCCTGGGGGACCGAGTTTAGGCAGAGAAAGAGGTTTGCCACCGCCGTCCTGAGGAACCTGGGTATGAAGAGCGGAACTGGCAGCATTGAGGTGAAAATCCGAGAGGAGGCAAGCTGTCTCCGTAACAGGGTAAGATAAACAATGCAAAACCCTGAACTTTTTCGCTTGGATATTTGGTGTCAAATTTTTTGTCTTGTAGTTCTGGAGGTATTGTCACGGGAAAACTGGTTGATATGTTTTATCATTAAACATGTATAGACATATGTCACAGGGGAGATTGGAATCCAGGGGGATCCGGAATCCTCCTAGGGGAGATTGGAATCCGTATCT